TGTCCTCCAGGGACCACTGTCCTTTTGGAACATTATATTTCTGTTTGATTCTAGTTAGAGTCTTCCCTAGCAAAAACTGTACTTCAGAGTACTTCAGTAACTGCCGCAGCATTCCCTCCTCTGTTATGTCAGGAGGGGCAAGCCCGCCTTTGGAGGTTACTGGGGTCACACATGATTACCCAAAATCTCATGCCATAGACAATGTCTTACTGTGGACTCCTTGTCCTAGACCTATTTCAGTCGATTTTGAGACTTCTAGCTCTAGGCACGTGGGATCCAAAAAGATAGAATACTCATGAAAGGCTCGGGCTGTGTTCAGGGACTAGATCATGACTGAGAAGGGTGCTACTAACCTTCTGATAATGTCCGTGACCGGTCAGTTTCAACAGTGTCCCCAGTGTCCTGCCAACTACGCCAAGTTGTGAGATTGAGATTGTGTTCAAAGAACCAGATGACTAGGATCAGTGAGTGGCGAAAATAGCCTCTTTATTGCACATTCACAGCAGCATGATGTAAAGCGAAAATAGAATCCCAAAATCATAGCTCAAAAGTAGCCTCTTTTATACAGAATTTGAGCATACATCAACCTTCTAACACTTGAGTGCTAAGTAATGGCTATTGTACAAAAACTGTCTTGCAGGAAATCAGAGATGATTTAAACACTTGCTAAGTGTTAGCGGTTATTGCTAATGGTTATTCTAATGAGATTAGAGTGTCCTCGCATAATTCAAAAGGTGTTAGTCCTGTTATTTCCAGAGTTAGAGTGTTGATAAAAATGTATCTGTGTTTTAAGTAAAAGTTTGGATTTCTTTCAATCACGGCTGTCTCTGACTTTTATTTACTATTGTTCAGTTTTACTATTTACTATTCATTTAGTTTCGCAGCTGTGTTTATCTGTGGGTTCTGTTTGCTATAGCTCATTCATTCATTCAGTTTCATAGTGACCTCTGTTATAGTAACACTGTCAGTTTCATTCATACCCTCATTCATTCAAAGTCGTGCAGTTCTGGACATAGCACTGATAGTTTTATGAGTAGGTTAAAGGTTGCTATATGCACGGCATTGAATAAAAACTTGGGGCAAGGTAAATCCTATCACCTACAAATCGTAATATGCATTGTCTAGTACAAGAAAGTCTGCAAGGAAGTAGCATTTTACTTTTAAAGAAGAGGGCTAATCCACTTGTCACCTTTGAATGCTTCTTGGAGCCACATCGGCTGGAGAGGTGTTTAGAGTAAAGGGTTGGAGATCGCATTTATTCAAGGCTAGATTTTAGTATGAAAAACACTACTTTTGGTGCGGAAGTATAAAAATGTTTTATCCAGTTGTCTTTATGCAGTTTTGTTAGTCGTTACACATGACTGCACGCCATAGTGGAATGTCAGCCTTGTTAAATGGAGTTGTGTACATAGTGCGTTATGCGTGACTGCACTTTCAAGTGGAATGTAACCGCACCGTTAAGTGGGTTGTAACCTGGTACGGTATTGCGCTTCTCCGTTAGTTTGAATAGGATGGTTAGTGCACATAAGTCTGTAGTTAGTACTATATGCCATCATGAACAGTGACAAAATAATGAATAATTATTAATGGACATGAATTATGATATATCACACAAAAAATGTACAATTTAATAATAAAGTGCTCCTAGCGGTCCCAAAGGCCCTGCCCCAGGGTAATTGAGACTTAGACTTCATGAAGTATAAGATAGGGGTGGAGGTTAGATAGGGTAAGGTTTAGAGTAAAAGTTCGGCACAACATCGTGGGCCAAAGGGCCTGTACTGTTCTATGTTCTATGTGTTGAATCTTATTGTTGAGTAAAAGTGTCAACCAATACTTTTTTGGACAAATAAGTTTCTTTTTTCAGTCATCTTTGTGTTCATTTTAAGGAAATATAGCTAGGTAGTAAAAGCCCACCCAATCTTGGTATCTGTCATCTAGTTTTTTCTATTCCGCCTTCCACTCTATCAGATTCTGGTCATTTGTATTCTCCCATCATGTGTTCATAATCGTAGCTTGAGGAAATCAAGTTTCCATATTGCTGACACACTTCCTTTACTCAAATATTTTACATTGGCGACAACCTTACTGCATTTTCTGTCATTTGCTCCCTTCCTGCAACATTAGACTTGTTTAGCCAGTCTGTTATTTATGGCTCTTGAAATGAAGCATGAAAGACAAGTCGAAATGTGTCTTTAACTGAGGTTACCAGATTCAAGTTCCCATGTTTCTGTAGTGATATTGAAAGCTGGTACTGAAGAAACAGGGCGAATGGATTTTGCACACTTTTTTAAATTCTGAGTTGTCTGAGGACTGCTAAAGGAAGGGAAGCTAGGTTAGAAACCGATGCAGAAAATACTTGTATTTATATGGTGCCTTATAAAGGATAAAATATTCCTGAAGATTTCTGAAGAAGGGCCCTGACCCGAAACGTCAACTTTTCTGCTCCTCTGACGCTGCCTGGCCTGCTGTGTTCCTCCAACTCCACATTGTATTACCTCTGACTCCAGCATCTGCAGTTCTTGCTATCTCTAAAATATTCCCAAGGTGGTTTACAAGATTGTTATATAATAGAACTAGATAACAGGTGACTTAGCGGGGTATTAGACTAGATGGCCAAAAGCTTAGTATTAGATGTAGGTTTTAAGGGGCCTCTTAAAAGGAAGATCGAGAGCTCAAGGAGGGAATTCCAGACTTTCAGACTTAGGCAGTGAAGGTGAAGCCTCTATTAATGGGACAGTTAAAATCAGTGATCCTCAAAACACTAGAATTGGTTGAGCCCAGATATTTTGAATGGCTGTGGAGCTGGAGGAGTTCACAGAGACAAAAACAGAAATTGCTAGAAAAATTCGGCAGGTCTGGCAGCATCTGTGGAGAGAAAGCAGAGTTAACGTTACAGGCCCAGTGACCCTTCTTCAAAATTTTCTGTACAGATGCTGCCAGACCTGCTGAGCTTTTCAAGTAATTTCTATTTTCGAGCATCTGCAGTTCTTTGTTTTTTTTTTCTGTTTAGAGTGTATGGAAATGTTGGGAGGATTTGAAAACTAAGATGAAAATTTTAAAATTTGGGAATTGTTTGGTTGAGAGTCAATGCAGGTCAGTGAGCAAAAGAATGATAGTGAGTGGGATTTCATAGAATCATAAAGTCATACAGTAAAGGATCTTTGGCCCATCAAGTCTGTACTGCCAAAAATATACTGGTACCTGCACAAGTCCCACTTTCCCACACTAGGTCCATAGCCTTGAATATTATGACACTTCAAATGGTCATCCAAGTACTTTTTGAATATTGTGAGATTACCAGCCTCAACCACCATCCTAACAACTGCATTCCAGGCCCTCGCCACCATCTGGGTGAAAACACTTTTCTGCAAATCCCCTCTAAACCTCCTGCCTTTCACTCTAAATTATGATTTGGTGAAACTAAAGACATGGACAGCACATAATATCAACTTTACATAGAATAGAATGTGAAAGAGTGCAGTCAGGTCTCAAGATGATAAATGTATGAATAAGCAGCAAATAGCAGAGGCAGAGATGAAGTAGAACAGTAATACAAAGGTGGAAATGCATGGAATTGTTGTGTGTGATTGAAATTAGACAAGTGTCTCTCAAGATTTAGTAGCTTTTGTTTTACACCAAGTATTCCGTGATCCCATTTTGTTGGTCTCTTAAATATAGGAAGGAGCTGGAATTGGCAAGAACTCCACATTTTTATGTTCCTATGCCCTCAGAATTGTTAAATTTTGAAATAATGGCATTGCCCCCATGTGGCAGTTCCCTCAAGTCATGAATAGTTAAGCTATAATTTGCTTTACTGTCCTGAAGTGTATGCTGTCCTTTAGTATGTTGAAGTGTTTGATCAACCATGATCGTATTGAATAGCAGGACAAGCTCAGTGGACTGAATGACCTCCTCCTGTTCCTATGTTCTCACACTCAAGTTCAAGTCAGTAGTATCGGTGAACTCCACTGAATTGTTGGTGGTGTACAAAAAGAATGTGCCCCATGAGTACAGGCAAATGATCAGAACTTCCAACGTTGGGATTATTTTTCACAGTTGTATGTTAGCTATCTTACTCAGTGCCAAGAATGTCATAATTACAGCCAGAACCTCCATCGCCTTCCATGGTTGAATGGAGAGCCATTAGTTTTTTTGGGTAAAGTGATGCTTGCAGTCACTTGTCCCAGTTAAATGAGAGGCTGTGCAAACTCCACTGAGGCTAGTGTTGGACCCATGGACCCCCTATAACTGTTGAAGCTGTGACACAAAGACATAATGGAACCTTTGGTGAGTTGAGTTGTTTGACAAGTGTGAATTTGCCTCATGTCCAGGTCCCTCATTCTTACCAATGGTTTGATCGTGTAGAATTTGATTAGTGCATAGGAAGAAGTTTCTTTATCTTGGCCAGTTTACGCATCAAACAACCTGGCTTAGTTGTAAAGCCATTTGAAACCCTTTTGAAATTGACAAGAAGTGTCATTTTCTATTTTAACTCTTGGTCTTTTTTTTTCTTTTTATGGTTCCTCTGCTGCAGTCATTGGCATCTCTTGTCAGCTGAAGGAAGACAAAACAATTCTGAAATTACACATGAATTGATTTTTAAGTTTTGTGACTTTCTAGTCATACATAAAAAGTGTCCCTTAATAGCCTCAAGAGAAAAAGCTAATCTTTAGATGCGCAGTCAATGTTTGCAGCCATTGTATTAAAGTACTACACTTTTCTTCAAACGATTATTTCAAATTTCTTTTTGTGAAAAGAAGAAAGGTTTAAAACCCTTTCATTCTAATTGTTAGATGAAAGATGCCATTTTGCTCCCTCCTGCCATTTTGCTCCCTCCTCTTTTTAGTCTATGATCCTGGAAAAATGCCAGATAGTATTGTTATAATTATACAGAACTGATATGAGACACGCAAGATGTAAGTGTTCGAATCTTCAAATGATTTAATGTCAAAACTTCTTAAGTTAAATAGCCACACTATTTTTGCTTTGTATTTTTCCAGGTGTAGCAGCTATTGGGGGAGCATTTACAGAGCAAATATTAAAGGAAATGGCTTCATTTAATAAACATCCAATTATTTTTGCTTTGAGTAATCCTACCAGCAAATCAGAGTGCACAGCAGAGGAGTGTTATCGTCTGACAGAAGTAAGAAATCTATGTTATATTTGCTATGTCTAGCCAAGTTCTCAATTTATTCAAAGACATGTTTCATAGAAATAATGTAGGTTACATTGGCCCAGAAATTCCAATAGCCAGGATCATTTCTGCCAAGTGGACTGGAGTTACATATTGGGACCATGCAAAACTCCGACACAGCTGACTCTGAGGGAATTGCCGAGGAAATTGAAAATTTTGATGGGTAATTTCTCTAAGTCTGGAACCCTCTGAAAAAAACCCCTTAAAGTTGGAGAATTTGGAGAGTTCCAACTCACTTAAACTTAATGGCTACCCAGGAAAGGTTGCTGTAACTTTTAGACACCTATGGAACGAAACCTGTGACTCATCACTGACTCACACCCCTCCAGAGACATCACCCGCTTAATTTTCCAACACACATTAAACCTCTTGGCCCAGCCTCTGACACAATGCCTTCACTGGTCCGGAATGTTATCTTGCAACCTTTAAATAATTCCTGAAGTACAGCAGCGAGTGCTGTAACAAAGGAATATATCTTGGCCTGCATAGCTAATCCTGCACTGAGTGGATTTCTCCCTACTTGCCTGTGATGGATACATTAGAAACAGGCCATACTGTGAATTCTGGCCTGATAAATCACTGACAATCAGTCAAATCTGTTCTTCAGTTATTGGAAAATCTGGGCCAAAGGCTTTAAACATTTGTGGATATCCACTCAAGTGAACTTCAGTTCTCTAAGTTCTTTGAGAATCCTTCAAACGATAGCCCTAGTCATTTGGATAGATATGATGTTAGAATTACTCCAAACAGTCTGATTATCAAGTATTGGTGCTGTTGCAGTCTTATTCATAAATCTAATAAACGATTAATTTCTTGCACAATCTCAAATTAGATAATTTCATGAAATATGGTACTCATGTTTACAAAGAACAAAGAGAACAAAGAAAGTTACAGCACAGGAACAGGCCGTTCGGCCCTCCAAGCCTGCGCCGATCCAGATCCTCTATCTAAACCTGTCGCCTATTTTCCAAGCATCTGTATCCCTCTGCTCCCTGCCCATTCATGTATCTTTCTAGATACATCTTAAATGACGCTATCGTGCCCACCTCTACCACCTCCGCTGGCAACGCGTTCCAGGCACCCACCACCCTCTGCGTAAAGAACTTTCCACACACATCTCCCTTAAACTTTTCCCCTCTCACCTTGAAATTGTGACCCCTAGAAATTGAGTCCCCACTCTGGGAAAAAGCTTCTTGCTATCCACCCTGTCTATACCTCTCATGATTTTGTCGACCTCAATCAGGTCCCCCCTCAACCTCCATCTTTCTAATGTAAATAATCCTAATCTACTCAACTTGTGTTCATAGCTAGCGCTTTCCATACCAGGCAACATCCTGGTGAACCTCCTCTGTACCCTCTCCAAAGCATCCACATCCTTTTGGTAATGTGGCCACCAGAACTGTACGCAGTATTCCAAATGTGGTCGAACCAAAGTCCTATACAACTGTAACATGACCTGCCAACTCCTGTACTCAGTACCCCGTCCGATGGATGAAAGCATGTCGTATGCCTTCTTGACCACTCTATCGACCTACGTTGCCACCTTCAGGGTACAATGGACCTGAATACCCAGATCTCTCTGTGCATCAATTTTCCCCAGGGCTTTTCCATTTACACATAGTTCATTCTTGAATTGGATCTTCCAAAATGCATCACCTCGCATTTCCCTGGATTGAACTCCATCTGTCATTTCTCTGCCCAACTCTCCAATCTATCTATATTCTGCTGCATTCTCCGACAGTCCCCTTCGCTATCTGCTACTCCACCACTCTTAATGTCATCTGCAAACTTGCTAATCAGACCATCTATACCTTCCTCCAGATCATTTATGTATATCACAAACAACAGTGGTCCCAGCACGGATCCCTGTGGAACGCCACTGGTCACAGTTCGCCATTTTGAGAAACTCCCGTCCACTACAACTCTCTGTCTGTTGCCCAGCCAGTTCTCTATCCATCTAGTTAGTACACCCTGGACCCCATGCGATTTCACTTTCTCCATCAGCCTACCATGGGGAACCTTATCAAACGCCTTACTGAAGTCCATGTATATGACATCTACAGCCCTTCCCTCATCTATCAACTTTGTCACTTCCTCAAAGAATTCTATCAAGTTGGTAAGACATGACCTTCCCTGCACAAAACCATGCTGCCTATCACTAATAAGCCCATTTTCTTCCAAATGTAAATAGATCCTATCCCTCAGTATCTTCTCCAGCAGCTTCCCCACCACTGACATCAGGCTCACCGGTCTATAATTACCTGCTACCCTTCTTAAACAAGGGGACAACATTAGCAATTCTCCAGTCCTCCGGGACCTCACCCGTGCTCAAGGATGCTGCAAAAATATCTGTTAAGGCCCCAGCTATTTCCTCTCTCGCTTCCCTCAGTAACCTGGGATAGATCCCATCCGGACCTGGGGATTTGTCCACCCTAATGCCTTTTAGAATACCCAACACTTCTCCCCTCCTTATGCTGACTTGACCGAGAGTAATCAAACATCGATCCCTAACCTCAACATCCGTCATGTCCCTCTCCTCAGTGAATACCGACGCAAAGTACTCATTAAGAATCTCACTCATTTTCTCTGACTCCTCGCATAACTTCCCTTCTTTGTCCTTGAGTGGGCCAACCCTTTCTCTCGTTACCCTCTTGCTCCTTATGTATGAATAAAAGGCTTTGGGATTTTCCTTAACCGTGTTTGCTAAAGATATTTCATGACCCCTTTTAGCCCTCTTAATTCCTCGTTTCAGATTGGTCCTACTTTCCCGATATTCTTCCAAAGCTTCTCCGTTTTCAGTCACCTAGACCTTATATATGCTTCCTTTTATCTCTTTGCTAGTCTCACAATTTCACCTGTCATCCATGGTTCCTTAATCTTGCCCTTTCTATTCCTCATTTTCACAGGGACATGTCTGTCCTGCACTCTAATCAACCTCTCTTTAAAAGCCTCTCACATATCAAATGTGGATTTACCCTCAAACAGCTGCTCCCAATGCACATTCCCTAGCTCCTGCTGAATTTTGCTATAGTTGGCCTTCCCCCAATTCAGCGCTCTTCCTTTAGGACCAGTCTCGTCTTTGTCCATCAGTATTCTAAAACTTACGGAATTGTGTTCACTATTCCCAAAGTAATCCCCTACTGAAACTTCAACCACCTGGCTGGGCTCATTCCCCAACACCAGGTCCAGTATGGCCCCTTCCTGAGTTGGACTATTTACATACTGCTCTAGAAAACCCTCCTGGATGCTCCTTTCAAATTCTGCTCCATCTAAACCCCTAACACTAAGTGAATCCCAGTTAATGTTGGGAAAATTAAAATCTCCCATCACCACCACCCTGTTGCTCCTACATCTTTCCATAATCTGTCTACATATTTGTGCCTGTATCTCACTCTCGCTGTTGGGAGGCCTGTAGTACAGCCCCAACATTGTTACCGCACCCTTCCTATTTCTGAGCTCTACCTATATTGCCTCACTGCTTGAGTCCTCCATCGAGCCCTCCTTCAGCACAGCTGTGATATCCTCTTTGACCAGTAATGCAACTCCTCCACCCTTTTTATCTCCCTCTCTATCCCGCCTGAAGCATCTATATCCTGGGATGTTTAGTTGCCAATCTTGCCCTTCCCTCAACCAAGTCTCAGTAATAGCAATAACATCATACTCCCAGGTACTAATCCAAGCCCTAAGTTCATCTGCCTTATCTACTACACTTCTCGCATTAAAACAAATGCACCTCAGACCACCTGTCCCTTTGCATTCATCATCCGCTCTCTGTCTACTCTTCCCCTTAGTCACACTGACTTCATTATCTAGTTCCTTACAGGCTTTAGTTACTACCGCCTTAATGTCCTCCTCATTTGGTTCCCATCCCCCTGCCACATTTGTTTAAACCCTCCCCAACAGCGTTAGCAAAAGAGAACATTGAAGTCCTGCTATTAGAACTGTAAATGGGAGGTAACCCCTTTTCAGTGGGCAGCAAGCACTGGGGCAGCATTTTGCCGTGACAGCCAATTAAGAGGCTGTCATGCTCTCAGGTGCTCACGACCCAAGCAGAGAACCAGCATTCTCAACAGCATCACTGCTAAGAGGGGACTCCAATGGCAGGGGCTCTCATGAAGTGAGGTGAATTTGTTGGGAGAAGCTGGGCCAGGCAGATAGCCTTCCAGCAATCAGGATAAGGGTTGTGTGTATGTGTTGCTGCTGGAGGCTCTCCTTGGATCATGCAGCAGCACTGAGGAGGGACTTTGTTTCCTGGAACCCACTGGGAGATTGCAGAGGTTTATCTAGGAGTCTGTTGAAAATCTGCTGGGCTGTCTCAACATAGGCAAAATACTTTTGGGAGCAGAATGTGGCCCTTTTATTGGCCACTGAAGTTGCTCAATTCAGGCAATCTTGATACCAGGTTTCTCCTCACTGGCATTATGCCATGGCGATAGGAATATGTTGGACTTACCTCCAGCTTCTTCACGTCTTATCCGAACCTCAATGTTCTTGCTCAATTCACTTGTACCTACTGTGTACAGTTCTGGTCGCCCTGCTATAGGAAGGGTATTATTAAATTGGAGAGGATTTAGAAAAGATTTACAAGGATATTGATGGAACTGGAGGGTTTGAACTATGCGGATAGGCTGGAACTTTATTTTTCATTGGAGCATAGGAGGTTGAAGGGTGAACTTATAGAGGTTTATAAAATCATGAGAGGTGTAAATAAGGTAAATAGCAAAGATCTTTTCCCTCGAGGTGGGGGAGTTCAAAACTAGAGGGCATATTTTAAGGTGAGAGGAGAAAGATTTAAAATGGACCTGAGGGGCAACTTCTTCACACAGAAGGTGGATGGCATGTGAGATGAATTGCCAGAGGAAGTGGTAGATGTAGGTACAGTTATAACATTTAAAAGACATTTGGACAGGTACACAAATAGGAAAGGTTTAGAGGGCTATGAGCCAAATGCTGGCAAGTGGAGCTAGTTTGGTTTGGAAAACTTGGTCAGCATGGACGAGTTGGACTGAAGGGTCTGCCTCCATGCTTTGTGACTCAATGACTCTATCAATAAATATTAAGATTATAATGAATAATTGAATCAGAATATAAGAATGTCTAATTTTCTATTCAGAGAGATTGCCTATTGCTGATGCTTAACAATCTACATTTATACAAATATTTTATTAATAATTAGTAATGTTTTACATATACAATATATTCTGGCAAAAATGCTCAGTAAGGATATTGTGAATTTTTTTCTCATTAGTAATTAGTATATTAATAAATAGAAATTTGATTATCTGCAGGGCCGTGGAATATTTGCCAGTGGCAGTCCATTTGATCCTGTAACCCTGCCTGATGGTCGTACCTTTTTCCCAGGTCAGGGTAATAATGCCTACATTTTCCCTGGTGTTGCACTTGGAGTTATCACATGTGGAGCGAGGCACATGGATGATGACATATTCCTAATTTCCGCTGAGGTTTGCATCAGTTAACTTGCAGTTTCTTGAATTACTGCAAAATGTTAACTTAGTTTTTGTTTCTTTCTTTTAAATTGATGGCTGAGCAACAAATGTATATTTTTGTAAGTATGTCTGTAAAAGGTAAAGTCGCCATAGTCTCAGAGGACCATAGGGATAGGGCTGTTCTCTCAATAGAGAGATGACTGGTGGTGAGTTTAGCCTAAAGGTCACCAGTCTTCGGCATGGGGAAAGGTTGGGAAGGCGGCGCCTTCATCATAACCTCATGGAATTAAAATAATAATACAAAAGTTCACATCTCCGTATATACAAGTCTTTGACTATCGTATCTTTTAAGTAAAACATTAAGGCAAGAAAAAGATAAGTTGCATTTGTATAGTCCCTTCAGGTAGGTCAAAAATTTTCCTATATATTATACTTCTGACTTGCTGAACCTTATTAGCTGTGGGAAAGATGAATTCTACAACCTCAATTTCTTTTGGGTTTTTTTCCTACCAGAATGCAATTGTAATAATTAAACGTTAGTTTCTAATTTTCATTATTGCACAATCCACTTAATTTAAAAAGAAGCAGAAGAAAATGAAACTGATTAGTACTTCCTTGTGTGGAAAACAAGTTACAGTCATCAAAATTAATATGTAGGATCAACCTTCATCCATACTTCAACCCTGATCATTTGTGTGTGTATATTTATATGTTATATAATATTTGTATTATTATACATATCACTTTGAACCAACAGGCTGCTGAAAGAATGAAAATCATGTTTGTATTTGTGGCACCATATACGTGTGCAAAATGCACGTTGATGGGCATAAACCATGTCCTTTATCATGCTTGGAAATTGGGCCACTGTAAATATGGTAATATTTTCACTACGACTGTGTAGCAGAATTTTCTTATATCTGTATCTTGTTAAAACTTTTAAAAGCTTGCATCAAGGATGTGATGTTATCACTATACTATTAATACAGTGACCCAGATCCGGTCATGGCAGATGGTGGAATTTGTACTTGATAACAAAAAAGGTCTGGAATTAAGAGTCTAATGATGACCAGAAAACCATTATTGATTGATTGGGAAAAACCCATCTGGATCACTAACATCCTTTAGGGAAGGAAACTGCTGTCCTTACCTGTTCTGATTTATATGTGACTCCAGACCAACAGTAATGTGGCTGATTTTTGACTTTAGGTGCAGATTCAGAATCCTTTTTGCCATTTTCTTCAGGTTTCTTTATCTCCAGTCCTCATGGTCTCCTTGGAATCACCAAGCATGGAATTGGGGACCTGCACCCAGCTATCTCTGAATGCCGCTATTAAACTAGCAGTTTTGAGGAGTGTGACAACATAACCCAATGATTGGTCCCTCTAATTTTACACTCACTTCTCCTTGTGAAAAAATACATTTGTCAGCAGTAAAACCTTTCAGAGTTTAATTCTTTACTTTTTAACAATGTAGAGCTAAGCAGATGTATTGGTAAGCAGAGTATTTGGTAGAGATACATTAATGATACTCGGTCATAATAATTATTGATTGTCCCAATTCATATTTTATGCTGCATGTATCCTAGTTGTATTGATTTGAGATTTTTCTTTTATCCAGGTTCTTGCTGAACTAGTAACGGAGAAGGATCTTGCAGAAGGACGTCTGTACCCACCGCTCAGCACCATCAGAGATGTTTCATTCAAGATTGCCACAAGGGTATACAAACATTTTTGTTTGTTAAGTGCAAATTAAACTGTTGCAGTTGCAAAGAGCTGTTGTTATTTTTCTGAATGCAGTGAAGCAGTAGACCGAGACATGGTGAGACATGGTTTTAGTGGCACATGATCCTAATTTGTTTCTTTCATTTTTATTTCCTTTCCTTTTATCAGTGGGTGCAGTTTGCAACGACGTTACTTTAACTCTAGACCAGTCAATGGAGTTAACTAATGCAGAGATTAACTAAAAGCTTTAAATCAAACCTTTGACTATTATTGGTAAGAACCTCTATGTAAAAGATATTCCCTATTTGTTGAGGCTGAAAGAAATAGAGTTGTGGGGCAGTTTCCACAGATTGGAGACAAATACATGTGTTCATATTCACAAAGTGGTGCAAGTCAAAACTTAGTAATTAGAAGCTAGTTAAGTTGATGTTACCAGGAGAAATTGTTGGAGATATATAGACTAATCATTTGGAAAGATTGTGATGCTGGATTGCAGTGATGACTGATATATAAATTTGCAGGCTGTGGAGTTATTGGTGAAATTTTAAGCCAAATTGCAAAGTGGCCACATTGTCCAAGGCAGATATGGGTTTATATAGTGATTAATTTTGTCTGTTATCTAAAGAAAGATTACCAGTATTGGAGGCAGTCCAGATGAGATTTACTTGGATGATCCCAGGTATGGAGGGACTGTGAGGAATGATTGTGTAGCTTTGGCCTGTATTCATTGGAATTTAGAAGAATGAAATGTGACCTTATTGAAGCATACAGGATTCTTAGGGGACTTGACAGGGAGATGCAGAGAGGTTATTTCCCCTGTGTGTTAGAGTCTAGGACCAAAAGGCATAATCTCAGAATTAACATTTAATACAGAGATGGGGAGGATAGTGTGTCTGTGGAATTCTTTACCGCAGGGGCTATCGAAACTGGATCATTGAATGTATTCAGGTCTGAGATAGATGGATTATTAATCAGTGTCAAGTGGTATAGGGAAAAGGGAGGAAAGTGGAGTTGAGGATTATCAGATCAACCATGAGATCATTCAGTGACAGAGCAGACTTAGTGGACTGCATGGCCTCTTTCTGCTCCTGTGTTTTATGAATATGGTTTGGATCAATTCTGTTATCACTACCCACAGAATTGTTATATAGACTAAAGGCAAAATACTGTGAAGAATTCTGAAGAAGAGTCGAACTGGACTTGAAACATTAACTCTGTTTCTATCCCAACAGATGCTGCCAGACCTACTGAGTTTCTGTAGCATTCTCTGTGTTTGCTGTTTAAACTGTTATTCTTCACCATTTTTATTAATAATTTGGATGAAGGCATCCTCTGTACAGAATTCAGATTTGCTGACGATATTAAAAATTCTGCAATGCAACTAGACTGCAGACTAATTTAGATATATAAGGAAAATGAACTCTGTATACAGACCATCAGCAGTAACAACAGGTGCAGTTGGACAGGTGCATGAATATAAATGGTTTAGAGGGATGTGGGCCAAATGCAGGTAAGTGGGACTAGTTTAGTTTAGGAAACTTGGTAACTCAATGGATGAGTTGGACCAAAGGGTCTGTTTCCATGCTCTATGATTCCATTATAGTACTTGTATTGCAAATCAGATGGCTTAACAGAACATCCACCTATCTAGAAGCCATAAACTCTAAATCAAATTCTTTCTGTACAGTCCTCTGTCGCAGCACTTCCCTCTCCTCCAACAAAATTCTCCTTAAAGTTTAATTTATGAGCCATGATTTTGGTCACTAATTCTAGTGATCTCTTATTAGCTTGAATATCAGAATATCAATTTTATTAATCATTTGTAAAGTATTTTGGCTCTTATGGAATCTCAGAGTCATTCTAAACAGAAACAGGCCCTTTGATCTAACCAGTCCAAGCTGACCATAATCCCAAACTAAACTATTTCCACCTGCCTGCACTTGGCCCATATCCCTCCAAACATTTCTTATTCATGTACTTATCCATGTCTTTTAAACGTTGCAACTATATCTGTATCTACCATTTCCTCTGGAAATTCATTCCTCACACAAACCACTGTATAAAAAGGTTGCCCCTCATGACTTTTTAAAATCTTTCTCTTCTCACCTTAACAATATGACCACTAGTCTTGAAATTCCCCACCCCATGGAAAAGACACCTGCTGTTCACCCTATCTATACCATTAATGATTTTAAAAACCTCTAAGGTCATGCCTCAACTCCTACGCTCCAGTGAAAAATGTCCCAGCCTACCCAACCTCTTCTTATAACTCAAACCTTCCATTCCTGGCAACATCCTGGTAAGTCTCTTCTGAATCCTCTCCAGCTTAATAATATCCTTCCAGTAACAGGGCAACCAGATCTAGACACAGTACTCCAGAAGAGGCCTCACCAACCTGTACAACCTCAACGTGATTTCCCAACTCCTGTACTCTAAAGGTCTAAGCAATGAAGGCAAATGTACTAAATGCCTTCTTAACCGTCACCCTTATCTACCTTTGACACAACTTTCAAAGAACTATGTAGCTGAACCCCTAGGTCTTTCTATACAATAACACTGCCAGGGCACTACAATTAACTGTAGAAGTCCTGTCCTTGTTTCTTTTACCAAAATGCAATACCTCGCATTTATCCAAATTAAACTCCACCTGCCACTCCCTATCCTTTTGGCCCAATTAATCAAGATCCCTTTGTAATCTTAGATAACCACCTTCATTATTGATTATACCATCAATCTTTGGTGTCATCCACAAATTCACTAACCATGCCTCCTAAATTCTCGTCCACATCATTTATATTAATGACAAACAAAAGCAGACCCAGCACTGCTCCCTGCAGAGCGCACTGGTCACAGACAGCCTGTCTGAAAAACAACTCTCCACCACCACCCTCTGTCTCCTCCATCAAGCAAATTTTGTATTCAATTGACAAGCTCTCCCTGAATCCCATGTATTCTAACTTTACTAATCAGTCTACTATGCGCTAGTTATTGTCAGTTTCTGCCGTTCTAATAGCTTAATTTCCTCCTTCCCTTTTACAAACTCCACCTAAGACTCCTGTCCTTCTCTGAGAGTGCAAGCTGTGGCTTTAAAAACATGTATGAATTTACTTTGTTTCAACGGACAATATTTAAACCTGACTTATTCTCACACCACCTCCATGAGGGAAGAAATATTTCAAAATCCTGATACCCTCCTGTGGCATTGATGTTTTTAAAATTTACAAGACTGTTTATGTTTTATCTTTTTATTTTATCATTTATAGATCATGGATTATGCGTACAAACATAATCTTGCTGCCTGGTACCCTGAACCTGAGGACAAAGAAGCATTTGTTCGTGCTCAAATCTACAGCCCTGGTTATGATTCCTTTGTATTAGATAACTACAAATGGCCAAAAGACGCCATGGAAATCCAGAAAGTTTAGTTTTCTGTGCCACTTAAGTCATGACCGAGAATAGGTTATCAAAGCCAGGTAACCTTAATTGCAAACAAACCACCAAAAATATCTTCACTAATAATCTTGTAGAAGTTCATGGCAGTTTTTGAATTCTTTTAAATTTCTTTTTTATTCATGCAGGAATTATTGATATTTCATGATTGTATTGTTATTTCCTCCTTTTACATGCCATTTGAACAATTTAGATGTATATACTAATTCTGCACTTCATTATCACTATGACACCAAAAGACAGGCTCTCGGCTGATATTCACTGAACTGTCTGATCTTATATGAGACTTATAGGTATGGTGTCATCAGCATTTTTCACAATAGTTAAGTTGCTTTTCTGAACATGGCCACCATTTTGATTCTAGATTCATATGTATGATGCCACTGTTTTAGCCTGAATTCTTACTCTTCTCACATACTGTTCTGACTATGGAATAAAGGAGCCTAATTTAGCAATGCAAAGAGTGCATGGGATGACATTCCCTAGGAATTTAAGCTAAAACTGTGTCCATATTTAAACAACTTTGAAGATGCCCAGAAAAAAAAACTGGAGAATGAATAACAAAGTACATTATCCACTAAAGCATTATCTTTTCATCTGTAGAAGTTGCGTTGAATCTAGTCCAGACTGATTGACCAAAAGCCATCTATTTGAGATACACTAAACTTTTCCAAATTAAACAAGTTGGTGGTGGCATTTGAATTAATAATATGCCATATCCCATAAGAATGCCTTCAGTGTAAATTATGAATTGCTAGGGTGCAGCAGGAAACATTTTCTGAAATTGGACCCAAGACATGATGACTTGTTCAGCATTCAATTGAATGCTGTTTCAATACCTAAAATTAGATAGTATACATATATATACACTGTTTCCAAGCACAGAGATTCTGCGTCAAAGATTTATAAAATAAACAATCCAATGTTGCTTTTAGCCACTTAACATATACAAAAGCTACTTCTCGTATTATTGTTTGGATATCCTGGAGTCATCTGATCTGTTACTTGTGAATATCTGCTGAAAACATCAGGAAGCTGAGATTTTTTTTTATTTTGAATATTTGTTGCTGAAATATTTGATATGTTCCCCTGCATGATGAATTTATTTCCTTTGTTTTTCTAAAGCTTAAGATAGCAGGTATTTCAAGCATTCCTGTTGTGCTTCAATGTCATTGTACTAATTGTACAAAGAACATAAACCAAGAATCCTGTAAAGGTGAATGTTGTAGGAGAACAAAATGTTGAATAAATCATGGTCTGTAAATCATTTGCCATTCTTCATGATTGCTAGCTGTGAAAAAGAGCTACCAGAGCTATTGTGGAGCAAAATATCTGAAAACCATCAACTATCTATAGTTATTTTCCCTAAAAAGGCTTCAGAATAAACTACAATATATGAATGTTTCTCTGTCCTGGAACACAGCTTGTTTTGACAATGGAATTTATTTGGAAGATCTTACATTGTATTAATGAAACTCCACATATTTTAGATCTAGTCATCTTGTTAACCTGTGCTACCAGCTTTATGTATGTTAAAACTCGGGTCAGTTACTTCCGTCTGCTGTGACCTTTGGCATTACCAGAGAGTAAGTGACACTGTTAACTTGCATTTGCTTGGTCTCTTAAAGTTGAAAGTGCTCTAACATTTGAAAGATGATTTTGAAGAGTAGTAATGCTAAGTTTACAGAAAATAGTTTTGTTTCAGGAGGGCCAACATTAAATGATTCTTGGTTATATATTGTTGTCCTATTTTATGATCTTCTTCCTCTTGCAGCACTGGAGCCATCCATGGACACTGACTTCCTCATTCACCTCTGCCCAAGCTGCATTTGTTAGTCAGGTTAGTCTCCTGTTACCATTCCTAGGGGAAAAAAAAGCTTCTCTCCTGGACAGCCTTCAGGAGAATTTTAGGAACGTGATGCTAAAGGTGGCACCAGTTTTTAACTGCTCTGTAACATCTCCAGGGATGGAGGTGATGAACAGAGGTTGAGTTATGCTCCTGGGTTGCAGAGAGTGAAGTGCTGTCAAGGTCCTTTTCAATATGGCAAATAGAAGGTCCTGGTGAGGGACAGAACCGTAGAATTTGGTGTTTTACCCGTACATGTTTATTTGTAATGAGCTGAGAATAAACTGATCATTTGAAAAAACTTAATCTGCCCCTGAGCAGAAGTACTTCCTGCTTTAACGCCTGCATCTGCTCTTTGTCTCAAAACCACAAGATTCTGTCCTATCTAAAGCCACAAGCTATATAAAATGATCAAATGGAACTTTTAGAGCTGACTGTACAATGGTGAGCAAGGCCATTTTTTAAAATTTTAGCTATGATAAACACTATAGATGTTTACAGATTGTCTCAATCCCTGAAAGTTACCAAAATTTGGAGCAAGATATGATTAACATGTCTTACATTTCATAATACGTGAATCCTGATCCACATTTCCAGATGTGTTCTAAAGTGCAACTTAAAATCTGAACATTAATTCCTGTGTTCTGTATTGGTAACCTTATAAATAAATTGCAAAAGCAATCTGGGTGTTCCTTCTTGCTTGATAAATTCCTTTTCCTTGTTTGTCTTAAACAGGTTTTTGTTGTGACAGTTGGAATCACTGACATTGACCCTTTTACCCAGCACTGGCCCTTTCCTGCTCTTCTGGCATTTTGTCCACAGTTGTTTTCACATATAGCAATAGGAGAAGATTGGTGTGAATTGGTGCAATTTCACCAAATCTCAATAGAATAGGCGATGGTGAGGTTGTTGACTTGCTCACTGAGCTGGCTTGTTCTCATTCAGACGTTTTGTCACCATGCTAGGTGACATCATCAGTGTAGCCTCCGCTTGGAATTTATACTGTTTGGTCCGTTATGGTGAGTAGTGTCATTTCTAGTTTTGATCTGTATGGGTTTGTATATGGGGTCCAATTCTATATGTTTGTTGATTGCATTACGGATGGAGAATCATGCCTCTAGAAATTCCCATGTGTGTCTGTCCGATGTAATGTTTGTGACAGTCATTGCACGATATTTTGTAAACCACATTGGTTCTGCATGTTGTGGGAATGGGGTCTTTAATCCTTGTAAGTGTTTGTCGTAGAGTCACCATGCAAGGACTGCCACAAACATTACATCGGACAGACAGGAAGGAAACTAGCCATCAGAATACATGAACATCAGTTAGCAACAAAACGGCATGACGAACTCTCCTTAATATCAGTACACTCAGACAATGAAGGCCATCAATTTAACTGGGACAAGGTAACCATAGTAGCCCAAGCCAAACATAGTCATGCACGGGAATTCCTAGAGGCATGGTTATCCACCCATAACGCAATCAACAAACACGTAGAATTGGACCCCATATACAAACCCATACAGATCAAACCAGAAATGACACAACTCACCACTTGTCTGAGTCAGAAGCCTGGCAGCAACTTAAAGGTAGCTTTCTGATGGTACGTGGGAGGGCTATCAGTACTGCCTCTCACTGGACCCATTACTATGCCTCATGAATGAAGAGCCTGTTGCTTCTCTTTTCACTTTTATACCTAGCTCCCACTCTGACCATTTTTTTCTTGGCATCATTCAGTGATTCAGAGAAGCATCTCACAAGTTCGAGGAACTGCACTTCTTGACTAGGCTTTTTACATTCTGGCTTGACATTGAGTTTAATTATCATCAACCATAATCTCCACTCCATTTTGTTTCTTTTTGGTTTGAGACATTTTTAAAATAGTTAATCATAATCCCTTTATTTTGTGTTTGAACAGTTGTTATTTTGCCATTTTGTAATGGTCAGCAAAAATATATTCCAGTCAAAAAAAGGACTTGATTAGAAGGATGAACAACCCGTCGTTAACAAAGGCAATCAAGGAAAATAAACAATAAAAATACTAAAGCATACAAAGCAGTGAGAATGAGTGGCAGGCTGGAAGACTGGGAGATTTTTAGGAGCCAGCAGCCAATGAATGAAAAGCCAGTAAAGAGGGAGAAAACTGACTATGAAAGTAAATTGACAAGAATCTAAAAACAAATAAGAGCTTCTATGGATATATATTTTTTTAAAAAAAGAGAATAGCTAAAGTGAGTATGGAAGCCTGGGGAACTGATAACAAGAAATAGGGAAATGGCAAATAATTTATACACTACTTTGCATCAGTCTTCTATGGAGAACTGTAAACATTCCAAAGGTATCAAATGAGCAAGGTGCTAACAAGAGTAAAAAAATTATAACAGTCTCTACCCCAAAGGACAAAGTATTTGACAAACTAATGAGACTGGTGGCAGACAAGTTGCCAGGACCAGATGGGCTGCTGCCAAAGGTTTGAGACACATTGGTCAAAATATTCCAAAATTCATTAAATTCTGGCAGGGTTCTGGTGGATTGGAAAACCACTAATATGACACCCCTGTTCAAGAAAGAGGGAGACAAAAGCAGGAAAATATATACCACTTGGCCTTGACCTTGTATTTGAGAAAATGCTCTCGTCCATTATGAAGGAAGAATATGTAGAAAAAGTTAGCAAAATGGAAGAGTCAAAAGGAAAGGGGAATCACATTTGACAAGGTGCCAGATTATTTGAGGATATAACAAGCAGAATTGATTAAAAGACAATGGGTTGATGTTGTATATTTGGATTTCCAGATGCAGTTGATAAAGTGCCGCATAAAAGATAAATGAACAAGGAGGTCATGGTATAGGGGTAATGAATTGAAGATTGGTTAACACACAGGAGAGAGAAAGTTGGGATTAATGGTCCTTTTTCAAGTTGAAAAGATGTAACTGGTGGAGTGCAACAAGGATTAGTCCTAGGGCCTCAATTGTTTACTTCCTATAGGAGGAGGGAGCAGAGTGTAATGTATCCAAATTCACTAATGATTCAAAAATAGGTGGGAGGGCATGTTGTGATATGGACATAAGCAATCTGAAAGGGGATATAAATAAGTTGAGTGGTCAAAAACTAACCAGATGTAATTTACTGTGGGACAGTATGAGGTCATGCACTTTGATAAGAAAAATCAAAAGGCAGACTATAATTTAAATAGAGAGAGAGACTTCAGGAAAGTGTAACATAAAGAGATTTGGGTGATTTTGTGCATGAAACACAAAACATTGGTATGTAGGTGTTGCAAATAATTAAGAAAGCAAATGGATTTTTAGACTTAAAATAGGGACGTCTTGTTACAACTGTACAGGATTTTGTTGAAGTGCACTGAGAGTGTGGTGTACAGTTTTGGTCCCCGTATTTAAGAAAGGGTACACTGGAGGCAGTTGAAGAGAGATTCACGAGGCCAATTCCTGGGACGAATGGTCAACTTACCAAGATTGGCGAAAGAGGTTAAGCCTTTATTCATTAGAGTCAGAAGAAACATGCAAATTTCTGAGTAGGGTTGACAGCATAAATAGTGAGATGTTTCCGCTAGTGGAAGAATCTCAGACTAAGGGACATAGGGTCCACTTTGTTAAACTGAGATGTGAAGGAATTTCTACTCTGACGACAGTGAATGGGTGGCATTGTCTATCCCAGTGATTGTGGAAACTAGATCACTGAAAGTATTTAAAGAGGAGGTAGAAAGATTTTTGAAATAACAAAGTTGAAAGCTATGAAGAACTGACATGAAAGAGTTGAAGCCTGGGCAAATCAGCCATGACCTTGTAGAATGTCAAGGTAGATTTGAGGGCCTGAATGGCCAACTCCTGTTTCTCTTCATATGCCTGTGTTCATATCTCGTCTCAACACATGCCGCATTATCATTCCCCTTGGTTTTGTACCATGAAACCTTTTGCATCTTAATTTATCCAGGCTCAAACCTGATTACATGCCTTACCTTTTTTACCTATCCTGCCCCATTTGGCTTTATATCGAGCATATTATGATCCTACGTTCTGATGAAAGTTTACAAACCTGAAATGTTGGGGCTTCCTCTCATCCTGAGATCCTGTCAGACCTGATGAATATTTCCAGCCTTTTCTGTTTTTGTTTCCAATTTCCAGCATCTACAATATATTGCTTTGGTGGTGAACCTCATTTGGGATTCTCCTAATCAACCAGCTTTTGGGTGGAAGATTGGTTTAAAAAAAATTCCCTGTTTTGGTGCATAGAGCATCTGAAAATGAAGTTAAAGCTGCCAGTTGGAAATTCCTCAGGGTTAGCCAACGATGATTCTTGGGAGAAGGAAGCTTTAGGTAAGATGCTTTAGACGGCTGGAGTCAAGGCTGCCAATGATGGAATAAAACAAGGAGATTGAATGTGAGGCAGAATCAGGGAAATGAAGAATTCCAGGAGTGGAGTGTAGGGGCTGCTGACATTTGTTGAGCTGAAGGAGATTACACAGATGGAGAGGGTGAGATGTATTGATGGCAATTAAACAAAAATTTGCCAAACTCAAGTTGTAACCAAGCGATTATTTGTTTGTGGTTCTGCTTTTTAATTTGTCTCCAGGTTCTTCATATTCCCTTAACAGAAACTCTTTCTCAGTCCTAACTGTGTCACTGGTATCCACAAAGATCACAACTAGATCTTTCCCTTCCTACTCCAGGTTCATCTCCAGCCCTGAGAAAACGTTCATGGCATAAAAGGGAGCACAAAGATTCAGTTACATGAGAAGGCCATCATAATGATGCAAGAGGCTAAAGGCAGTAACCTGTATCAAAACGTGCTACCTAAATCTAAATGTAAATGTCACTGCCACCATTTCTGTTTCATATGGCTTCCAGTACCGCACACCCATCCTTTCAGGTCACTTTATCCCTCAGAAATCAGGACAAGGAAGAGATGTGCAAGGGAATGGCAACAAATCTGACTAGCCCACATCTGGTGTCTGAAAAACCTGAGGCAGCTATGAATTCCTTATGTTCCAGGACAATGTGCACATAATTTCAGTAACGTCTTGGTGTGGTGATGCACCACCTACATATTTCAAGAAGTGGTACAATTTCCTATTTATGAAGACGTCAGAATGATGATTTGGTGCCCTTATTAGGATGTGGGTACAACAACAACCCCCATATTTAGGAAAGGCCTGCTAATTCTTAGACCCCATGGCTCTCTGTGCCTGTGACATTACATCCGCAGGAAGTTTATGTGCTCCCAACCTGAGCAAAGATGGCATCTGCGGAGGTATGTGGTCAACTCCTGGAAAGGACTAGAAGCATCAAAATTCAGAGACATGGTAATCTTGAGCGTCACTGGTACTGGATTTTTTTTCACCATGGCATTGGATTGTAGAAAGCTATGGAACAGATGGATTTGGGTGTTATTGTGAATGGCATGGCAGTACGGTAACTCAGTGGTTAGCACTGCTGCCTCACAGCGCCAGGGTCCCGGGTTCAATTCCACTCTCGGGTGACTGTGCGGAGTTTGCACATTCACCCTGTGTCTGCATGGGTTTCCTCCGGGTGCTCCAGTTTCCTCCCACAGTCCAAAGATGTGCAGGCTAGGTGAATTGGCCATGCTAAATTGCCCATAGTGTTCAGGGATGTGTAGATTAGGCGGATTATAGGTGGATGGGTCTGGGTGGGATGCTTTGAAG